AACATTGCCCAACATGTTGAGTTGCAGGTCAGTTACAGTTGCAATACCAACTCCCATGAGAAGAACAGTAAGTGAGAAACGGATCTTCTTGCTGTAAAAATTGATAAGTCATGAGGGTAAAAATTGTCTGAATGGACAAGAAATTTGGCATTTGTCTGTATACATTGCCTAAAAGATCCCAGATTCAACAGCAATAAATGTTGCTGGCATATTATTATGAGTACTCTCTCTGCATTCAAAATATTCTTCAACTTTGATTCCAGATTCAGAAGCAATGAATGATGCTGGCCCATTAAATTGAGAACTCTTTCTGAATTCAAAAGACTCCACTTCACAAGATTCGTCAGCTTTGAAATTAACAGATCCTGGAAAACATTCTGTTGTAGGCATCTTCTTGGGTGAAGTCTTTGGAGCCTTGACTCTAAATTTAAACAATGGTTGACTCAATCCAAACATTCAAACCACAACAATATCTACATGTAAAAAGAAATACAATTATAAGTATAAGTAATGAAATGCGATGATATAGAATGACTGGTTTTGAGCCCGGTCCGGTTCCCGGTTTTGAGCCCTTTCTACAACTGTTGATATATAGGGTAAAAAATGAAATGTGATGATATAGAATGACATGTGTTTCTATTTATACAAGACCTCAGTTTAGCCCTTTCTATTTTCTAATGTTTTACTGCTTTACTAAATGACTGAAATGTTATGTGCAAGAGGTTATATTTGTCATGATTAAAACTACAGAAAAGACTCTAGAAGGTTTACCTGATTTGATGGAGCAGTTTGGTATGATTATGTGTTAATTCCAGAGCTTGGCATATGAGATTGATTACTAGTACCAATACTATCAGCTTGTTGCTTCTATATCACAGGCAAACAAAAAAATTTCAAGTGTTCTATATCACAACTGCAAATTTGAGTTAAACAGGGGAAGTTAGATTCAGGTGTACCATGCCGTTAGAACACATGCGATCATTATCGAACCTAGGGCTTATTGAGACAACTAATAACACCATAGATGACACCAACCTCTTTCTATGATCGATCTTTAGGGTAATAATCAAGGTTCCCTTAAAAAAATTTAAAAAAAAAAAAAAAAAAAACACATTAGTTTGTAGGATAAGGTAAAGAAAGAAACCCAAAGATCATCGTATGGGTGTTATTCGCTCACCTAGACCCCACCGACCAGTTGGCCTAAATTGTGACAACGACATTTGTCCCTAGCCAAAACAAAAATCGTATTTTTTTAATTTACGTATGAAGGAAGGAGAAGGCGATTCATCCCATTGAGGCGGAAAAGGGGGAAGCAGGCGTAGGATGTGTTCCATGAAAGCATCATCCTCTCAGGTATGATGGAGGAACGTTATCTATCCTGGACCTCTGTCCCTAGCATACAATGAGAAGATCGACTGTGTTTGGAGCAAATGGGATTAGTCAATAATAGAAAGAAAAATATAGATGTAAGTGAAAGTGAAACATAAGGCGGTGATTTGTGGCCGCAAGACGAAGCAAGATGTGGGCAGAAAGCGGAACGGGGTTGGAAAAGAGAGAGTGACTGACCTTTAGGCAGCTAATTGAGGTGGTGATGCAGGACAAGTTAAAGAATGGGCGGCCAGAGCAAACCCACTTAGAAGCACTCATATTTCTTCAATTGAGCCTCAGATCTCCTCTTCACTCAAAAGACCTACTCATGGATTAACACAGCAGGTCCAGAAATTCTGTTTGTTCGCTCTACTTCTTCTTCTTCTTCTCTTCTTCTTCTTCTTCTTCTTCTTCTTCTTCTTCTTCTATCTTCTATTTTTCCTGTTGTTGCCGACTAACTGATACATCATCGGAATCATCAGAAGCGTTATCCAAAAACTCATACCCAACATTGTAGTGAACTATCGATCTAAATCAAAATGGAAGAGAATGTTGCTTAATTTTTGACTGATAACTAATAAAGAAGAAGACGAAGGCCCTAGGGCTTTTTCTTGCTAATGGAAGAAAGGGGGTGATTTTAATTTTTAGGATTCCATAGGCGGGTGAAATCCCGCGTTAAAAACGTGTGTTTCATTAAAATGTTATAAAGCGACACATTTAGACGACACACATTTTATGAAAGGCGCCATCCGCATTTCCTTTTTTTTCTTTTCTGACACTAATTTTAGGGCACGTAAAAATGCGTGTCCTCTATCCTTCAAATTTATCAAAATTGACATTATTTTTAGGGCACGCACAAATATGCGTCCTCTATCAGCAAGTGTCATTGTTTGCACGTCATTAAAGGGTTGTTTTCTAGTAGTGGTTCTAGGTTACTCTGATATTAAACTATTTTGAAAACACTTTGTAATAACTAATGGTTTTTGGATGTTTGAAGAAGTTTTAAATTGACTTGATTTTTATGGGTGTTACAATATATATATATATATAATTATATATATATATAATTTATTTTTATATATAATATGTATACATGTAATCTCAAAAGTTGCAAGGTGGGCTAAGGCTCACTCTTGCCTCTACATGTCTATGTCGTTGCTAGGGAGCCTGCTTTAAGCCATAGACAGTTTTATCAAGACGATACACATGATCTGGAAACTCTTCATTTTCAAACCTAAGAGGTTGTTTCAGAAAGACTTTTTTCTTGAAGAACTCCATGTAGAAAGGTAGTCTTGACATCTATTTGGTAGACTTTGAAGTTTGAGAAGGTGGCAAAAGCTAGAAACAGACGAATTGCTTCAAGTCTTGCAACCGGAGCAAAATTTTCATCATATTCTAACCCTTCAAGATGACAAAAACCTTGAGCTACAAGCCTGACTTTGTTCCTTATGACGATTCAATCTTCATCTATTTTGTTCCTAAAAACCCAACGAGTACCAATGACAGTCTTTCATTGAGGTTTGGGAACAAGAGTCTGCATACGATGACGTTCAAATTAATTTAGATCATCTTGCATGGACTTAATCCATTCAGCCTCTTTCAATGCATCAACGACATTCTTTGCTTCAATCATTGAGATGAAGTTAACAAACATGCAAAAGATGTTGCTGACTCTACTACTAGTGAGAATCCTAGAATTTACGTCTCCAATGATTTGATATTCTGGATGATCTCGAAGGATTCTTGGGTTAGAACCTTCATTTGTATCACTTTGGGCAGAGTACTCCTAATTTGATGAATTAGTTTCTTCATGAACAACAAGCTGATCTTCAGGGATAGGCTGAGAACTAATTAATTTATCAATATTAGGAACAATGGGATCATCTTCATTTTACAAGAGTTCAGGAATTGGGTCTGAAGGACTGAAAGTAAGTTCATTTAGACTTGACGAGGAGTGATCAACTCGATCATGAATGAATGAATCCTCATCAAATGCGACATGAATTGTTTCTTCATCAATTTTTCTTGGAAGATTAAATATGTTGAAAGCCTTGGATATGATGGAGTATCCTAGAAACACCCCCTCATCAACATTACCCTCAAACTTCAAATGCTAATCTCTTTGATTCACATCCTTGGATTAGTGACTTGGGCCGTGGTGGACCATCTCGAACTGGACTAATGGGCTAGAGAAATAGTATTGGGCCTTAGGCTAAGGCCCATGTGAAAGGATTAGGCCCAATTTGAAATTGGGCCATATGTTAGGTTTCATGGGATTTTTTAGTCATGGGTTGTGATTTAAGGACCAAGTTATGTTAGGGGTAAAATAGTCTTTTACCCTTTATTTATTAGCTTTTATTTGGAAATTGTTAGCTTAGAGAGCCGTAGGATCAGCAGATAGAGATCACTCGTTTCGATCAGCTTTTCAAGGTGAGTTTTCCTCACCGGGTTTAGCGGGTCTAAGGCATCAAGGTCGACCCTTATTGATTATGTTGATATACTTTTTGTTTGTGTGATACTTGTATGTGCTTGTATATGTATGCTTATTGGGCGGGGTTCGTATTGCGAGTGTGGGAAGGGCTCGTATCTCATTGGTCGGGGCCCGCTTTATGAATGTGAGCGGGGCTTGTATCTCTTTGCGCGGGGCCCATACGTGAGATGATGGTAGACCTCTCAATGAGGTGGGTTTTGACCCTGATTCGCTCCAAACCCGTAAGAATTTAATGGGTTTGGATTTTAATTTTTGATTTGTTTACCTGTTTACGATCTATACCCGTTTACCCTTTTAGCAAATGGGTCGAGTATGGACCATTGTCGATCCATTCCACTTATGAACCTCCCCATTTTATACATATATATATATATATACAACACACATACATGACACAACAAAATATACAACTTGATGTATAAGTAAAATGTGATTATTATTGTATTAGACTTTGAGTATTAATTAATGTACATCTTGTTTAAGTAGACATTTTATCCTTTTCGTAAATATTACTTTGTGGAACACATAAAAATTACGAAAATTTAATATTATAAAAGGGTCGGGTATTCGTTGATTCGGTGACTATGGGTATGGATTCAACTATTCAAGACTCTGAGGGTTATTGGAGCGGGGCGGGTTATGTTTTTATTTTTTAAACGGGTTTGGATCAATGGTGATTCGCTCCAAACCCTCCCCATTTACAGGTCTAGATGATGGTATGTGGTATCTTGGGGAAACTCACTAAGCTTTGTGCTTACAGTTTTCAGTTTATGATTCATGTACTTTCGATTTCAAGGGAAAGAGCTCGGGCTGACCACATCATACACACTACAGAGATTCTGCGTTTCATATTAACTATGATTTTGATACATTGGATACATTGTTTTGATAAGATGTATGAATGATGTTTGAAAACACTATTTTTATCTAATATAAAATGAAATTTTTGGGACCATATTTTTGGATGTTTCATAAAAAATGTTTGGTTTTCTTCCTTTCATGTAACATCCCAAAAATCACAACAAATTTAGTCTTTTAAAAACAACCCATAATCATAAAATGTTTACAAAACCATTCTTTCCAAATTGTTTATCCATATCCGAGTGTCCCAAAATCATAGAGCCATAATACGGTCACGCCTTCGCCTTCCCACGATCATGGGAAGTACCTGAAACAACAACTAAAAACTTTAAGTCAAATCTTAGTGAGTTCCCCCAAAGTACCACCACATACAACATATCAAACAACATGAATAACTAATCCTTCAGCCTAACTGGACCTCCTTGTTGAGCTTATAACCTATCTTACCGCCCTAGGTATCTTGGTCTTCAGCACAAAGTAGGACCGCCTCAACCCAACCAATCATAACATGTCGACATACACATAACAAATAAACATATAACCAGGCATCAGCCAAACATGCAGGTTCACAAATCATTACTGCATGCTAACATCCTATATACCATGATACTGATCTAACAGATCTATACAACATAACAACATACTATCATGTAATAGGATATACAATCCACTGGGCCGACCTTGGTGCCTTTGACCTGTGAGTACATCGAGGAAGACTCACCTCACAACCTGACGAAGAAAACTAATCAATACTCTGATCCCGAATACCAGCTCCACCCAGTCCTAAATGTCCAAAATTTTCCCATTAATAAAATAATCAAATTTTCCTAAATTAACCTTGGTTAAACTTGATCAAAGCTAACAAGTCAACTGAGTCAACCCAGTCGAGTCAACTCAACCTAGTCGACATAGAATGCATACACGAGGCATACTTAAGCCTTGACCACAATCGGGATGGTTGACCTCGTACACGCTGCGTACTCTAGGTATGCAGGGTGTACTCCCAGACCTCTGAAATCTGCATTAAGAGCTTAACACCTTAAGCTTTCATGTCCATCTCTCAATATAAGGATAAAAATGTAAGTACCTCAAAACACAATGTTACATTTCAATAGCTCATAAGTAGCTTTCCCATGATGTTTGACTATAATAGACCGGTTTTAAGTATAACATGTTGTATTGACCACTTCAGCCCAAAATGACAATGAAAGACCAGCTTTAACAACCATAGTTATGTCAGATTCAATAAGAGTTATGTTTCTTCTTTCTATAATACCATTTTGTTAGGGAGTTCTAATTGCTGAAAAGTTTTAAGAGATTCTCGAGACAGAGCAAAAATCTTCCAGAGAAGAGTTTCTGAATTCAGTGCCATGATCACTATGCAATTGCTTAACTTTGTGATCATAGAGGACTTCCCATTGCTTAATGAGAGCAAAAATTTCATCAGCAGTATGACTTTTCTTTCTTAAAAACACTACCCATGTAAACCTTGAAAATTCATCCACAATGACAAGAGTGTATTTCTTTCCAGCTCTTGACTTGATCGGAACTGGTCCAAAAAGGTCCATATGAAGAAGATGAAGAGGTTTGATGATTAAAGAACAAGACTTTAGCTTGAACGAAGACTTGGTTTTCTACCATTTTTCACACACTGAGCACACTTTGTCTTTGAGAAATTGCATCTTAGGAATTCCTCTCACAAGCTGATTCCCTACAATCCTTGAGATGTTCTTCAAATTTAAATGTGATAGCCTTTTGTGCCATATCCAATTTAGATGAGACTGAGCACGAGAGAGAAAGCAACGACGAAGAGATTTGTCAGCAGAAAACATATCCAGAACTTAAATGTCTTTTTGTTAACTTGCAGTAAGAACAATAATGTTCTTTTGATCAACAACTTTTCCTTATTGCTTTTTAAAGGAACTTCATAGCTAGCATCACATAGTTGGCTGATAGAGATGAGATTATACCGAAGACCTTTAACAAAAGAGACATTCATGAAAATAATAGAATTGCACTTGATTGTTCCATAACCCTTTGTAGTTCCTTTGCCATTATTGCCATATGTAACTTACATACCATCCTTCTCTATGACATTTTCCAGGAGAG